TTATTGAAACAAAAAAGGGGTGATTATGCTATGTGAATCATTCTGTATATAATATATAGGTCTACTAAAATTACTGCATTCGATATTTTAATAATAATTAGTAACATAATATGAGTATAATAAACTAATAACGAATGCGTTAAGCAGGTGCCATGATTCACATGATAGATAGGTACTCATATTATATTATAGGGTATAGGCGCCCTTTTTTAGTAAAAACGACATATTTGCAGTTTTCATTTCATACGTATTCTTAAGTGTTTTACRAWAGTGATGCTGCAGATGATTATAGCTACCTATATTATATTTGATGCACTATTAACTAATTATTGCTCATTGTGATGTTTATATTGTTTAGAGGACAAGAAAGAAAGCACAGTATCGCCATGCAACTGTGTCGGATCTCATGCACACGTTCACGTGACGTGCCTCGAACAATGGCTATCCGTATCAAAATCGAATAGATGCGACATTTGCAGTTACACTTTCAAGACAGTCGAACGTTCTTTAACCGTATACGAGGTAAACTAGCGTGTTATAAATAGGTATTTAGGTACCTTATCTGTTATCTTATATGCACCAAGACATAAAATATGTAATTTTAATATTAGTTTGGCCCTTTATTTAATTTAAAGAAATCATATTATATATTATTAACGGATATTATTATTATATTATAATAGGTTAGAATAGGTTAGATTGGGTTAGATAATTATGTAGTGATAATTTAAATTCATGCAGCCCTTAATTTATAACTAAWAAAATATTACTTTATTTTCTTTGTCTTTCTCTCTATTTTTTTTTTATTGATTTGTTTAGTCTAATACTCTAATAAATGGTTTTACAGTGTATTCCACATAAATAAATGTAATAATATAGGTACCTATAACCTAGGTATATTTTCATAGAACGATTGTTCCTACGAGCATCTACATTCTACACGTTTAATTTTCAATTCTATTATGCTACACAATTGATAATATTATTTATAAAATAATTTAGGAAAATTTCAATTAATATTTATTTCTRTTAACTAAAAAATAAATATAATTCAATAAGACATATCAGTTTTAATGTGGTCGAATCTATATTATGGTGAAGGATGCCGGAAGGTCCAGTATTTATTATTATTACGACTTATAGAACAACCGTAGAACATTTATATTTATTTGTTACTAGAAAGAAGTTAACTTTATCTATATTGTTCAATGTCTTTTGTTATTTTACTCTTATAAACACTTTTTTTTTTTAATTTCAATTAAAAGTCACGATTATTTTTTTTATAGTTATCACTTCCTAGAAATTAAATAATAGTTACAAAAAAAAAAATATTGCACTCTTCTACAAAAAAAAATAAATAGATCTTTAAGTTTTAATGAAAAAATCTATGTTACCATTAAATCATTTGACAATTAAATTAATCATAAATCACAATAAATAAACTACGAAGACATATTTTAAATATAGTATGAATAAATATCAATGAATAATGGTATCTTATATCACTGACATGTGATACATGAAACTAGGTACGTCTATATACATCATATTAGATTCTAATTAGARTGATGAATGAGTCCATTGGCGTCGAACTCATATATCATGTGAAGCGATTGCTTCATTTCTAAAAATTCTAAAATAAGTGGGTGGGTATAGGTGAGTTCTATGGAGTGGTTAATGGGTTTAAAAAGTTAAATCCGTTGTTATAAACATAATAATTATATATAGAACACCTGATATTTAACATCAAGCATCAATCATTGATACTTGATAACATATAAATTAGAAGTCCTGAGTGAATGAGTGGGTGGGTAGTTCCACAATTCTATATTTCACTTCACAAAAAAAACTTGAGTTAGCGCCACTGTGAATGATGTGCTAATTTTACAATGTTGTGTTGAATTTGAGTGTGTTTGCTGTCACATTTTAGAACAATAAGAATTATTCAATCTTTAACACTACTTTAAACACGTTTTCTGCCAGTGGCATAATAATTGTTGGGAGGGACGATATGGAAATAAATCTATTTAATTTGTTTGATGTAATTTAAAAATTAACAACTATCGAAATATTTCATCAAATTAAAACTTTTGACAGTATAGCTTTTGGTGTAAGTAACTGTATATATATGAAATTGTCATCTTATGTTTATAATAACATTTTCTGAAAAACATAAAACGTACAACGATTGTTTTGTAACCATGTAGTACAATGATGATGATTATAATTTTCAAATTTAGCTTCATTTACTGCGGTAACTCACACAACACCTTATATACACCATACACGTCAGAGTATACAAGAGATACCTACTTGTGCACTTTTTTATTCTATTTATAGTGATTAACATATTCAAAATATTTAGACTAATTTTAAGCTATTTACACCAATTACCTATTCAATTTTACATAATATAGGTACTATGGTCCATCGATATAACACTTATTATAAGTTGGGCAATAATAATTTTATTTCATGGTAAACAATATAGGTAATAATTGTATTATTTTTTTTTTTTGTTTCAGCAGAAATTAATTAAACCTACTGTAGGTATCACTAATGTCTAACAACATTATAAAAAAATTTGAAAGACTTATTGTTAGAATTAATGAATTTAAACAATACCTATTTATATAAACGGTGTGGTACCTATAGCTCAGGATCGTTTTTCGTATGATCGATTTATCATTGAATTAAAATTTAACAAATCCATTACAGTCGATTACAGATATTATTAAASATTATACTTTATTACGGTAAAATGTAACTAAAATGTATTAAAATTTAATCAAACCATGCTTTTTTCGGACGGACATAACATCTAGTTTAAGTCATAGGCTCAATAACTAGGGTCAAAAATCTGAAGCTTGGCAAAAGCTCAAAATATTAAATTGTTTGTAAATAAGGCAGGAAGGTATGTTTTGACAATACAGTTTTAAGTAATCTGGTTATTAATTTAGTAAAAATAAGCTATGCATACTTACTCATAATAAATAGATAGGTAAGTAATAAAATAATGAGGATATCATTATGATAAATTATTTAAGTACAAACTCATAACTCATAACATATTAACAGTATTATTATTTTATATTAGAGTAATATGCCTATCCTTTTTTGAAAATTGATCAACATTCAACAATGAGCTGAGTGTTGATTAAATTAGCAATATATATCTCTTTCTATATATAAAATAGATWAATAACTAAATCTTTCTTGTGCCATACTCGTTTAAAAACTATGGGGTTATGAATAAACTGGGATAGCTAAGCCCCCCACCCCGAATCCCCCCTAATTGCGCCAATGGTTTAAATTGTTTTATATAATATAAGACATTCAGTGTTTCACACTGAAATCATACAGGGTCATTACTCATTGGTTATAATTAGGGCTATAGTATAGTGTAGGATTTTTTTTCATGATATAWGTAGGTACAGGATATAGCTTTTCAAGCACAAAATGAGATTTTGTCATCTCTTAAGTTCAAATGTATACCTACTTAGTTTATGAATACCTAATTTTTATTTTAAATTTTTTTGTACTTTTTTTTAGCTTCGGGTAATTTGTTAGCATTTTAGAGTAATTTTTTTTTATTGGAGTTGAAGCATTGATAGCAAGAATCATTAGCCCGTGGAACTGTGGGGGAGGGAACTTTTGGTTGGATCACGTGGATGTTTGGCAGAATTTTGAATGGGCACCCTTAGGTTTCTGCTATAGTGCTATGCCCGGGTGGGGGGAGGCGGCCTTTTTTTCCAGACAGAGTGAACTGCCCGGAAGGCGATGCCGCCCGTGACCGGGATTCGAACCGGTGACGGTGCGCGTCCCAACCGACGCCTTAATCCGCCCGGCCACTACACACCCTTTAAGCTAATTTTTTTTACTTATTATAAGAACTATAGGTGTTATTTTTTTTTTTTTCATTTACACTCGTTACAGAAATAATACGGCCATTTTGATAAAGATGGTCTATTATATAAATACTCGCTATCGATAATAAAACTCTACGAGTTCAAATTAATAGTTTTTGTTTAGCATTTTTTGTACTTTTTTGAATTTCCGGTAATTTTTGCGTTAGATTTTTAGATTTAAGTTATTTAAATCCTAGTCCTAATTATAGTATTAGCCATTAGAACATTAAGTGTATACCTATAATATACAACTCTTATATATTATTATTGTTTACAATCATTAATCATTATACAAAGAGTTATACTTAACATCGCTCATCGTCAAACTATTGTTTGTGCATAGTGGTTGCAGGAGAGAAGAAACTGCCAAGGGTTTTGTCAACAGTTCACGGTCATGTTCTTTTTCGTGTCAGTATGGTGTTTAGTGCTCATAGCCTGTGGAATGAAAACGATTGAATATTTCCTAGACACAAGAGATAAAAATTCATTTTCCAACGGGTTTCTCATGTCCATCATAACGTTTGCCATGGCTGCCATGTTGTGGTTTTGGCTCATAATCTTTTCATCGTCAGTATACAAAAATAACACATACTTATCTATATACAATAATGCCTACTATATCTACAATATTGGTGCCCGGATTTATTTGCAAATGCATACTTTTATACATATGGTTTATAATAATTCAGAGTAAAACTACAACTACAACTACCTCTACATGTCTCATGATAAGTTGATTCAAATGCTAAAATGTATTCGCATATTTTTGCATGTTTCTGAATAAAAAGTACCTAATTACAAATAGTGAATTATCTATTTTATAATAAGCTTATTTTTTTTTCTTATGCTAACTGCTATAGCGCTGAATTAAATCCAATTAAATGGGCCTTTTTCATTATTATTTATTATTACTTAACATCATATATTTGAATTTATTAGCACATATTATATGGAGCAGTTTATTTGATGTAAGATACTCGAACTATTATAGAAAACACCAACATTTTTGGAAAAAAATTATATTTTTTACAATTTTTCATCGTTATCATCGTTAATTAAGTTTTTAGTTTTTTGAATACAAAAGCCATTTTTTATTTTCATAGCAGAATATTATTCAAAATATTTCGATCTATAATAATTTTGGACAAGTAGTTTATTAGTTATTATATTTTATTCATAGACCTTATAAGGTCTATGATTTTATTAGTATTTAAAGATTAGGATAGTCCGATAGAGCGAGTTCGTTTCGACCAAAACAAAAATTTATGTACGTAATAAATTTAAAATAATGAAATACATTTTTTGATAATAATTATTAAGTATAATATTAATATAAAATAAATAATTTTTTTCTATAATTCATTTTATAGCATTTTATGCGAATCATAATGTTAAAAGTTTCTTACAAGTATATAACATAAAGTATATAATAATAATTATTATTACTAATATTTATCATTATTTCACAACAATTATATGCCTATATTTGTTTAATTMTTTTTATATATTATAATTATACGCATTATTGACAAAAATTATATATTATTAATTCATTTTTTTTATATAATATTTTACATATTATGATATATTAACACAAAAAATAATATTAACATAAAGATACCTATTCTTACATTTTAAATAATTTTCTAAATTTTATTTTGAATTTATTATATAAATCTTTGTTTTGGTCGAAAAGTGAATCGGCTGAAAAGGGAAGGGTACGTTTTTGGTCGAAAACGGCCATACCCATCCGATAGTGGACCAAATTTTGACGAGGTGCTCCCGCACMACTCTGCTCTGTTTAGCTAAACTTTAATTAATACTTATAAGTTATGACTCATAATCTACTCGACCAAAATACATTTTTATATAATGAAAAACTTTAAAAAATTCTGCTTTGTAAATTTTTTTAAGTCGAAACGATAAATATAAAAATAGTAAAACATTTTTTGTAGAGAAAATTTTTATTTTTAAACGACTTACATATTTATACTTATATATTTAAAATAAATATGATTGTCAATACGTGAATAATTTTTAAAATATTGAGTGTTCATTGTGTTCAATGAATCACCCACAGTCGTTGTCAGTTTAACTATTGGCACAACATCGGCTGAATTAATATGTAGGTACCTAATTTACAATTATCATAATTATTTATGTAAAATTGTTATAAGGTACATGTAAATTGTAATATCGTGATATTATACGTTATTAATTTAAAGTTGTAAAACTCCACCATGGTTTTGTCAAGTGATCGAGTGTTTCTAACCTATTTGGCTACATGGCAGTGATTAACAATAATAAAAATATGYTTATAACTTAATTGATAGATTAGAGATTTTGCATATTTATGCATCTATAGTGTATAATTTACGTGTTATTTGCATATAAATCCAGACCATATGAACGTAAAAAAAATKKTATCATATCTTACACCATAATTCACCTCGAAACACGTTTTTATTTATAGGATATGGAAGCGTATGAACATGGTGATACGCTTGGACAAGGACTATTTAAACGGATCCGATGATATCAACAATGCGTTTGCTGTCTGATAAACCTGGCTAATTTATATTTTATAAAATTAAGATTAATTGCTAGTTACTTAATTGTTTATTTTTGTCTAATAATAATTATAATTAATTCCAAAATATATAAACATAATACGTACCTACTATTATATACCAAGGTAAATAACCATTATAGGTTTAGGTAMCTAACCTAACCTATTTGAGTTTTCTACGGATAAATTATGTAAAACAAAATGTACGAATTGAAATATAAAAATAATTATATCAATATTTAGGTACCTATAGTTTGCATTTAATATTTTTAAATATTTTAAAAAATAAATTAATTATTAAAAAATAAAATCATGTATGTAAGTTTATCATGGTGCATTTTTAAATCCAAATTACTTACCTATATTATTTAAAACAAAATGATAATGCTAGGTAATGAAAACAAATTCATTATTATTAAATAGCCAAAGTGCATAATGCATTTGTAACATAAATAGTAAAATGCATAGGTACCAGATCACTTTTAGGTGAGTTAAAACCAGAAAGTGATGTTTAATATTAATATTAATTTTAAACTAAGAGAAATAATTATACACTGCCGCATAGTGATTTTTGGCATCAAACATATTACCTATTTTTTATTCTTCCTATACCTAAGTAAATTGTACACAATTTGTATATTATATAGGTTATAGGTATTCATGTTTGCAGAAAGTCCCAATCMCAACTCAACAAAGTATAATTAAATTTAGTTRACAAAATCAGACCAGATTCAGATAGGTTAGAAACTTAGAAAGAATAACTAAGTCAAAATTTTGTATGTCAGGTAATTGTAAGATTCATAATAATCATTTAATACATTATTACAATTTTCAAAAAATTTCCAAAATATATAATTTAGAAATTCGAAATAACTAATATGTAAGTACCTATAATATARTCCTAAAAATTACAGACATGCCCAGACACCACCGAACTTTTCACCCAAAGCCTTGTTATTATATCTTGACCCCAATGGATTGGTTAGTTTTGGATATTGTTTTCGTTTGTGGTATTCTATTGACTATTAGTGAATAATGTTACTACCAAAAATATTTTGTAAATTAGCAAGTATTCAACCTCATTTGAGACTTTACTTAAAATAAGTTCTACAAGTATAAAAAACCAAGTATCAAAAGGGCAAATTTAATTTAATTTTAATTAAAGTTGTCAATGACCCTAAACAACTGGCTTTATAGCAAAAAGGGACCAAATGTGATGGTGTTGTTCATCGTCAATTAAAGTAATTTCTCAAAAAATTTTATGTAACCAATTATTTGTATAGTTTGTTGAGTCAAATGCTAAACTAAAGGCTAAAAGTAATTGTACACTAGGTAAAGGCGGGTTTTTACTACACACGTTCACGCAAATCCTTTGCTGTGATTGGTTGGTTGGGTTCAGTAGTTCAGTTACCACATGAACCACTTTACCATGTTGTTAGACATAGCTGAACATTTTACGTGTACACGGCACACGCGTACTGTGGAAATCCACCAATAGACTGCGTGCGTGAGATCGAAAACCACGTGGACTAGTGGTTAAATCTTGTACTAGTGCAGGGGAAAAAATTCAAGTTTTTTATTACGTTAGATGGGAAAATGTGTGAAAATGTGTGAATAACTGTAAAATATTTTTTAACTCCCGATGAATATGCATTTATTAAAAAGTAGTCACATTTGAAAATTATTAAATTAATGAATTAATACATATTGAAAATGTTTTTAATCATCTGCTTAATCAACAAATTTAATTATAGCTTCTGAATTCCAAACAAATTGTTTTCTTTAAAATTAGATTATATTCAAACTAAAGAAAGTTCAAASTTCAAACTTCAAATTTTCTTAATTATTTCAAGAATAAAAATAAATTATGAGTAATTTAATAATTAAGTATGGCTTTCAATGCATAAATTCACATTTTGAATTCTCTAATAACAAAGGTTTAAAGTTGTATGAAAGCAATCATGTCTTGGATGTACAGGAGTTTAGACCTATTGAAGGATTTTGTTTAATAACTGGTTTTGTTGTCAGGCAGACAAGCATTTCTTTAGAACCACATAAAGTACAGCTCGAGGTAAAATGTATATCCATGATTTATATTCATGTATGACATACATATATTATGTACCTATGTATTATTTTCTACAATAACTGTTTTCTCAAATAATAGCACTTAATAGGTACTATAACAAATTCTCTTGTTTTCTAATAGTTAGATAGTACTAGAACTAGTAGAACTATTAGAAATACTGTGTGCCAATGTCCAGCTGGGGCTGGATCCAAATGTAAACACATAGCTGCYCTTATTATATATGTTAATTCTGAAGAAGGAACTTCAAAAACTGATGAGCCACAGCAATGGGGAAGACCCGCAAAGTATGATGAACTTTTATATAAAAAAGGCAAAAAAATATCAGATCTTTTCCCTCAAAAACAATTAAATAATGACGTTCCTATTCTGAGCCATAATGATTTCATTCAAAATCACAATATACTTTCATTGCCATGTAGTTTAAGTTATAATTTGTGTTCAGGGAAACGCTCTGAAATTGATAGACAATGCTCTAATATCTTAAATAATATTATAGATCATGTCGAGCAAAGCTTAAAATATGAAAGTAACAGTGATTTTTTATCCAATATTATCATCAAGCAAGTTCAATCTGATTTTCCTAAATTCTATTCTGCATTTCCACTAACATTAACTGAGCATACTTACTTCTTTGAGAATATTTATGTTAATGAAACAATGATAAAATCGATTTTTAACCAAACATTAGGTCAGTCCCTTGATTTATCTTGGAATCAAAACCGAAAGATGCGCATATCAGCAAGTTTAAAAGCACACAAAATAAAAACACTAAGGAATAAGTCTGAAGAATGTCAAAATAAATTAGCAATATCTTTATTAAATGAAACTGCAATTGTAGGAAAAGGAGCCAGTAATATACAATATGGATTAAAAACTGAATACAAGGCATTTAATGCGTTGTGAAATGTACAACATTGATGTAATTAAAAGTGGGTTGGTTGTCCATATTTGTAGACCCTGGATTAGTGCCAGCCCTGATGGTTTAATATTAATAAATGGAAAAATTTCTTCAGTTTTAGAAATTAAATGTCCCAGCTCATGCAAACAAAAATCTATTATTGACCAAACAACAGGAAAATCAAACTAGAGACTTAAGTTATATAGAAGTTAAAAATGGCGAAGTTGGATTAAAATATAATCATATATTATACACAAATACAAATRTTACTGTATTGTACAGGTTTAAATGATTGTAACTTATTTATCTTTAATGAAATTCAGCCTTTGTTATTAATAATTAAAAAAGACTTAACCTTTWTAGAAAATATTATTCCAAAACTGAATAAATTTTACTTTTCTTTTTACTTACCAAATTTATGTAAACAATCAAATAAATTATAATATTTAGTAATAAGTAATTTATTAAGTAATAATAACAATCAACAAAATATATAATACATGTTATGTTTAAAATATTTTATCAAAACTAATTATACTGCTTTATAATTAGTGAACTTAAATTTACCAATACACAACAAATGAGTAATAAGTTATCGATATATTRTAAAAGATCAGTTGTTATTTTATTCAAAACATTAAAATATTTTAATCTTGCAAAAAGTCGTTCTATGTGTATTCTGACACTAGCAATATTATATGTTTTTATTACTTCTTCTTCAGAAAATCTACCATTATGAAGTATTGGGGGCATAACTAATATACTATTATGACCTTCAACACCTGGTTTTATTCCAGGAAAACCTTTATCGACAAGAACTTGGTCTCCAGGTTCAAGTTTATTTAAAAATCCGGAATCATTAGTGATAAAACTATCACTAGACCTACCTCCATACGCTTTAAATAGAAAACTAACCATCCCATTTGGTGTAATTGCAACTAATACTTTGATTGTATACCTAACTACCTTTGTATTGGGAGTACAAGCAAACTCTTTGTTGAACTGTTTGAGGTTGCTCAACTCTTACTTTTGTGCAATCAATGATACACCTACAATGAGGGTAATGTTTTTTAAAAACTTCTGGTAACGTATCTACAATAATTGTTTTACTTGGCCAGAAAATTTAATTATTTGTTTTATGACTTAAAATCAGTAAACATTCTGAAAATACTCYACTGATKGTAGATACTGATAATRTATCACAGAATAACCAGAAGGCTCACTTAATGAGAACTCGAAAATTAGTGAAAAATGTTTGGGATATCAGTGTAGCCAGGATTCGAAAATAATTGAAAATTCTMTTTTGCTGCTGAAACTGAATCTACACGATTTTGATGTTATCACTATACATAAGCACGTGTAAATATTGACATTACGATTTTGAACGTACATAAACAATCAGCATTCAGCATAATTTTTAATTTTTGTCATTTTGTTTTGAACTCAAAGCCTT